AAGGAAAGGCAACCTTACCCCACTGCATTTTTCAATTGGTGTAACTTTGATGTTTGTTTGACTACTAAGTTCGACAATTAAGATCATTAATTTAAATGGCTCAGTCTTAAAGTTCTTACGTCCAAATTTCTTTTAAGAAAACAAATACTACTACTCCTATTTACTGTATGAGCAAATAATTTATAGATGGTATTGTTAAGCCTTGGCATGATATAATTCTGAGCTCGTTCCAACAAAAATCAAAATTTTACTACTATTTCACTGCGCTCATTTGCAAATATAACAAAATTTGCTATTGAATATTTTCTTGTAATATTTAAACAATTAAATAAATGTGGAAATTAGCAACTCAGCTTTCTCCCCTATATTAACCTGTGTGTTTGTAAGCGAAAAAAAAAAATGCCCGCGAACAAGAACGAAAAGTGCACACTAGTGTTAGCATTAAATTCCTTGCCAGCACATTCGTTTCACAACGTCGGCTCATTCATCGCGTCTAGCGCTGCATTTGTCACATGGTTTGCAGCGAGCTGATGAAAAGAAATTCTCATTCACTCCACTCGCACGCCCGGCGCTGATCTTTTGCTGTCACAACGCCGCTGCTGATAAAATTTATTGCACTTTATTTTTATCTTAACTCAACAAACACATAGTTTGCTTTATAGTTTTCGAGTGAAGCAGCAGAAGGGAACAAAAACCGGAGTCGTTTTAGAAGAGATTAAAATGCAAAATATTTCCATGTAGTGGCCGCTGCATAAATACAGAAATACGGGAAAAGAATGAATGAATGAATGCATGAGTGAATGAATGCTAAGAAGAAGGCAACATGCAAAAATAGAAAAACTCGGAAATAAACTTCGAAATAAAGCAAACAAATGGACAGGACAAGTGCTGAGCGGCGATGCTAAATGCGATGGTCACCAACTTCAACGCTGTAGTTGTTGTTGTTGTTCTTGCAGACGACCGCAATTGAGTCGACAATGCAGTGCCGGGCGACTGCCTGCATTCCTAATTGCAGCTCTCCTTTTTTCTTTGCCTTCCATTAAATGTGGCGAGTAAATTAAATGACAACGCAAAGCCAAGTAGAAATAGAAGTAGAAGTGGAAGAAGAAGTAAAAAAAAAAATTCCATTCAAACCGATACACTAACATACAAAGACTTTGTTATGGCGCAATCGTGGCCAAGGAAATTTATTTCAATAGCAAGTCGACTCGACGACGGATAATTGTCAATTTTTCTTTTCAAGTTCAACTGTTGAGAAATGTTTACATTTTCATCTAACGCTGATTATGGTTACGGTTGAATAAAATGCAAATGCGGCATGATTAGAGTATGTCTAGAAGAGCGTACTGTAAAAAACGAGTTTTCATTCTATAAAAAGTTTAAATATTTATGAATCGTTAGCTGAAGTGTCATCAGCATTGTATATATTTTTTAATGATTTATGTATTTGTTTTGGCCAAGTTTATTATAGTCTTAAAAGCCCTTCTAAAATATTGATTTAAATAAGATATTTTTTAAATTGTAAAGAAAGTAAGTCAAATTCAAGTAAAATCCAAAAGTAAAGGCTTAAACATAATTTTACTGTCTTGTTAATATTTTTCCCATTAGTTTGAAGCTTGATAATTGACAAATTTATATTAATTAAAATACTTAAAAACTAAAACTTAATTTGATGATTTTCTTCTACACTTTAAGCACGTCATTTATATTAATCCTCTTATGTCTACCGGTGCATGTCACGTTGACTTAACGACCAACTTTTTTTAGCGATTGATTAAGGGTTGAAGATAAATTGACCCAATTAAATATTTTTTTCTGAACATAAGGTCCATAGCGTTGATTTTTCTTTTTTTTAATTCTATGATATGTAAAGTTATCATCGATCATAAGAGACTCTCTTAAAATATTTTCTTAATAAATTTTTTTAGATGACCTCGTATCAAAAATGGATAAAAGAGTCAGAGAATAACCTTAGAAGCATATATACGAGTTGCATATATACTGGGTTCCAGGCCACAAAAGAATTCCTGGATACGAAATAACTGATGAGATTGCGAAAAGCGCTGTCCGTCTGGCTACCGAATCAATACAGGAAATACGTTAGTCGCTAAAAATGATACACAATGAAAATTCGAAAAGGCTGACAGCAGGGTGAGATGGAACGCCTTAAGGATATGCCAAAATCACTCACACGATCTTGCTTTTCACTCACATGATCTTGAAAGGACTGCTGGCATCACATGCGTGCCGGACGTTCATTAGTTATGACGACCTATACAGAAAGTATAGGCAAATAAGTATGAGAAAGATGCTGGAACACCTCTTGTGCTTCTGTCCAGCCTTATTTAGAACACGCCTTAGATATTTTGGAGCTTTGCAGTTCAAGAGACTATATAAAATGTCAAAATTAGATAACGAGTTGCAACAGGCGTTGACGTCCTGTATGAAGTATACTTAAGCTCAAATTAAAATTAACCTCCATTTGACATTACTAAGAATCCATATCACATTCGTTTGTGAGGGTACGTCAAGTCAATTGCCTATGCTGAAACAACAAATTAAGACTGACCAATGGACCAATATCATTCGACGTTTTATTTATGTTATGAGGTGAAAAATTTCTTCGACGAGATTATATATCTAAGGCGTACAGTCATGACAGTCATATCTTCGAAATTATATTCCAATTGCATTCATATTATTAACTTATCTTTATTTTTTTAAAGAAGTTCTGTGAGCATCCTTCATGACGCAATAAAGCACAATGATGATTGTCTTCCACATCACATTTCTCTCTCCAATTGCAGCACCGAGTAAATATCCTTATCTAGCAAAATAGCATGAGAAAGCCCAGAGCACATTTCTGCACTCGTGGTACTTCACCTTCGCATCACAGCGTTGTGAAGTACATTTTGCACGTGACCTAAATTATTGTGCACAATCCCCAATTAGATTTAATTTTCAAATTTCTTTGCCCATTGACCCTCATTAGTTGGCCAGTAAGTAATACGTAGCTATATATTTGCTTGGGTTAATTGCCTTTGTGCTTGCACACCTAGCCCCAAGAAGCTTGGCAACAAAAGCCGACCGTTAAACTACAATGCTAATATTTCACTTGCAATAGTGAAGGTGAGGGTTATTAATACGCCTTAGCCACTAACAATGCCGCCTATTAGCAGAGCTAAAGTTCAAATTTGAATACAGCTATGTAATCGCTATGTCTCTTTGCCACGAAGTTGGTAACACCTGGAATGAAAGGTTGGAGACCTTATATATTGTATATGATCACCGTGATGAGCTGAGTCGATTCAGCCATGCCCGTCTGTATATATGCATCCTATTCCTTGCTTTTGTGTATCGATTTGAAATTTTGCACACTTTATTCCCCAAGAAACGGTTCATTTATCGGAACCGTCTATACCGTACTACTATAGCATATAGCTGCCCTATAAGCTGAACGATCAAAATGAAGTTCTTACATAAAAAACTTGTTATTTGACGAGATATCTTCACGTTATTTGATATAAATTATTGGCCAAGGCGAACGCCACAATCTCCAAGGAAACGTAAACATATCGAATTACTTTACCATAAGCCTATATGACAGATTGACCGCTTACAATTAAGTTTTTTATAGAAAACTCTTTTCTTTGTGATCGGTATTATAGCTTCGGCGCTTTGCTTATTTAAATATACTTTTTCAGAAATGGTATATCCTCTCAATAAGAAACCCATTACTAATACAATATTTAGTGAAATAGCGAATAATCTTGTTATCTTGCCACAATTAATAGTAAATTACTTGAAGATCGAAACTATGTTATGCAATTTTTTACCACTAATTCATGATGCAGAATTTATTTAATATCTCTATTATGTTTGGTGACTAGCTTTAGTATAGTAGTCGCTAAGCAGCCTTGTACCGAAACGTCTATTATGCATGGCAACCGGCTACCTATCAAACGTAATGCTTTAGTATATCGCAAAAACTTGGAGGTATTGCAAAGTCTACATATCACCCACGGTTGACATTAATGGTCAATACTGTTATAAGAAACACATTTTTTGTCAAACAGCACCACATTTGATCCATAATTTCATTAAAACGCGCAAATATATAATGTTAACTAGTGAGTCTAAAGTCTATGAAAATAATTTATATAAGAAACAAATTTCAATGATAGAGTTGACTCCGGGCATCCCAAATGAAGCGTTGTGATATTATTTTGAAGGCTAATTACAGCAGTTGTGTCTTTTATGAGTAAAAAACGGTCAAATTATCTACCTGCTGGCAATTTCACCAAAAAAACAAAAAAAAAAAAAGGAGTGTCATTCATGAAGAGCATTATTTGCAAAAATAAAGGACTGTAGGAAACACAACTCAAGTATAGCTTAAATCAATTAAGGAAAGCCCGCTAATATCCCCTCTGTATGAGTAAGTAACAAGATTCTGGTCGATCTGTCGATCTAAATCTGCCAATCTTAAGCGACTTAAATATTCGCTGTCTTCAATTCGCCAAACTTTAGAGAGTAGCGAATCAAACAAACTATAGAAGCTGTTCAAGCAATGACTGGTATCAAAGATAGCGAGCAGAGAAATAGCGAAACGAAAACGACTATATCTAATACAGTAGCTTCAAAAAGTAGCTTATACTAAGTCACTAGAAGCCAGCAACTAGTGAATCACGCCAAGAAGAGGCCTTTCTGGATAAAACTTTTGTGGTTTTTTCTGGCGCTCATAAATATTGGTGTGAATTCACTACCGTATAAATATGCAAATATTTTGCAACAACTAATTAATTAACTGTGATCTAAGAACTGCTATAAGCATAGCTATTTTAAATCATAAAATAATAATAATAATATTTACAACTTCAAACGAAACTCAAATAACATAAGCGAATTAAACACTAAATAAACCATAGATATATATACATATGTGTATGTATGTGTGCAGAAAATACAACTACGCAAATGCAAAAGCAAATGAAAACACAAAATTTATACAGAAATTTCAAACAGAAACAAAGCTTTATTGATATAAAATACAAGAATATATGTAGTTGCATAATCGGTGTAAGCACGCCCCCGAAACGTAATGAGAGGCGCGTGATTTCATTTTACAAAGAACAAAGAAATTCAGCAATAGTAATTATAATAATCATATATATATATATAGATAGATAATGCATTAACAAAGCAGTTTCAAATATATTGAAAAAATAGGACTTACAAGTAAATGTGCATATATATGTATGTGTGTGTTTTATATTGTAATTGCCATGTAAAATGAGAGAAAAAAGAGCATAAATAACGAATTAACGTTCTAGTAAATACATAAACAGTATATGTATAAATGAAAAGCGTATAACGAAATTTATTTAACGTTGTATTACAAAGTTGTAGAGCACATACATGCTTATACCATACGTGTGTGTGTGAGGAAAAACCCAGTAGGAAATTGAAGAACATGTATGATACATTGCAGTTTAACCTAATAATTGCCGCTAAAGTAGTTTATTATTAATTTTTTTTCATAAAGTATCAAATAATATTTGTTAATTAATTAAAAAAATATTTTTAATTTATTTAAAAAAAATAAACTATTGTATATACATACATACATATCTTTAATCAATTTAAAAAGTAAGCAAATTTTTTTTTCTTTACACAAATATAAAAGCGGTCTTTTGTTACAATATATATAATGCAAAGTAATATTTATAATATTTTTTTTTTGTAATTAATATATTTCGAATCTCTGCAAAAAAAATTTTTTTACAAGAACCTTATCGCGCTTTACTCTATATAATTACATACATATATTAAATATTATTTACCAATTAATATTACTGTAAAAAAAAAATATTTGAAACAATTTTAAAAAAAGTTTTAAAAACTAAACTTATTAATTTTTTTTAAATGAGCAATAAAATTTAATATTTTAAAATTAATTAAAAAAATATATGGGATTTTTTTAACAAAATTCTTTCTGACTAAAGGAATTGATATAAATCGTCGAAACCATTCCTCCGCGGTTCGAAGTGATAGAGTACCATCCCCCAAAACACCATTAATCTCACGGAACGTTTCTCTAGCGGATTTGCCTTTAACGAAGGAAAACTTTAAAATAGCGCGAATTTCGGCGTTAGTGAACTCCATGTTTACACGTCTATAACTGTTGAACGCAATATCCAAACTAATCATGCATAGCGTTGTTTTGTAGGTTATGTCAAGACAGTGTTGCCAGATACGAGCTCTGTAGCGCTTTGTACATAGCCGCGAAATTCAAAAGAAGCGGAAGGGAGATATTTGACAACCTTATATTTTAGTACTCAAAACAAATTTTTTTATAAAAAAAGTATTGTCCAATTAAATTTTGTTTTATTAATTATATGCATGTATGTATGTATAGAGATAGAAAAAAAATTGTTAATTAAAAAAATGTTAAATTTATTTTTTAATTATTTTGGAATCTTTCCTGCCAGGTCTTTACATATTTGCTTACATATTCTGCATGTATGTGCGCATTTTAATAAAAGATAAAAAAAATTATACTTAAAAGCTTGTCAACCAAACGCTTTAACTAACACTATTTGCGAAACATTTGTGTTTGAAACATAATCGTGCAATTTTGTCACAGAAGTATCAAATTTTTACGACATTAATGTTTCATGTACAAAGAAAAATACGTATAGTATATATTTTTTAGTGAAATATGTATAAAATATGTTGTTGTAAAGCCTTTTAAATATTTTAAATTCACAAAATGTGCCTTTAGAAAGATTTGTGCACAAATTTTCACATTTATTGATATAACTTTGTGACAATGGGTTTGCATAAGTACAGTATATACAGCTGTACTTTTATTCACATACTTGAAAATATATATATATATATGCATTCTTCTCCATGAGCACATATTTCACTTGCGCTAACTCTTTGTAAATATGCATGTAAAAGCATAGCTTTAAGCTTAAAATGTGGTTAAGCGCATTTGTTGTTTTTGCAGCGACACTTACTCCTAGTCATAGTGAATGCAATTCAAATATCGGCTATACAACATAAGACAATGTAAAATTTATTAACATTCTGTCCGTACAAAATATGAAAATTCGTTGTTCGTTTATATGTTATGTAACAAATGTGCAGTTATATATAAGATAAGATAAAAAAATGAAATTACAAGAAGCCTGTGGGCAACAGTTAACAACTCAATTCAACGTCGTAAAATTTCTATGGTATTTTGTTTCCATAATTTGATAAGCTTACAACAAATTCGTGTAGTGAGAACTTCAAACAAGCTATAGCTACAGATAACTTAGAAACTAAATCCAATATAGATAATAAACAAAAATATTTTTTTGGTTTTATATTAACAATTCAACATAAAATTCAGTAATATATAATATATGTATATATTCATAATATTATAATGTTATAATATTTTTAATTTGTTTTTATTTGCTTTGTAAGCAAAACTGTTAAAACTACAAAAAAATAGTGAAAAAGAAAAAACATTGTGTACAGTTAAAGCTAAGCTTCCAGATAATACACATTAATTCAAAAACAAATTGGCCATAATTCAAGCAGTTACACGAACGCCTGACATTTGAGTAAAGTAAGCATGTGTGTGTGTGTTGTTAAGTATGTGTGTGTGTTTGTGCGTGTGTCAATAGCAGCTGTTTAACAGTTGCTTTGCATGTGTTCCTACCTCCCACACCAACAGTATTCCCCAACACCACCACAGCATACAGCCTTTGTTTGTTTGTGTTGCTGTACAACAGCTTGTCGACATCAATCCAGTTAGTTCAAAATGTTATTCACTATCTCTCTCTTTTATTCACCACAATTCTTCAATTCTTGACTTCAACTCGTTAGCTCCGTTCCACTCTCTTAAGTGCCGCTCTTCTGCATACTGTTCATCTTTGCTGCAGCCAACTTCGCGTTGCGACTCGCTGTCGCGTTGTCCCTAATATGGCTTTGATGCATCTTTAGGCTTCTTCAGCTGCACCTTTAAACGTTTGGTGCCGACTTGGAAGCCGTTCATCGCTTTAATGGCTACTTGCGCTGATTCGGGATTATCGAAGGAGACAAAGCCGAAACATTTGGAGAGATTGGTTTGCTTGTCGATGAAGACTTTGGCAGAGATGACATTGCCAAATGGCAGGAAAGTCGATGCCAAATCGGTGTCGGTGAATTCTTGCGGCAGATGGTAGATGAATAAGTTACAACCTTCGGGACCTGTAAGTGAGGAAAAATACATAATTAAGTGGAATTGAAATAAAAGTTATCTTATTCGTTATTTGGTTTTGAGTATAGTCATTATATTGATGTGAATTTCAGGTGTTACATATGCGAGTTAACGAATATCAAATAATCAGCATTTTCGTGAAATATTTCCTTGTTAAATATCGATATGAAATATACATATGTATATATCATATTTGAGCTTATATATTGTACATTTGGAAATTTTTCATACAGTTTCTGAGCAAAACTAATTTTAATAAATCGTTATCCATTTTTAGAACCTAAAACTATATTAATTATGCTTTTATACCCTTCAAACGAAATTATAAAAGAAGTTGGTTAAGAAATATGCTCCCAGGATATTTAGGTGTGCTCAAAATTTGTTTGTTTAGGATAAGGGCATGTGGTTTAAATTCTGTCTTTGTTTTATTCATATTAAGCCTTAACTTTGTTATAACGCATATGTACTATAATAGGTATGTGTAGAGTAGAAGTCCTTGCTCAGCGATCATATTCGGCCTACAATATTCTCAAAAAATCGAAGAATAAGTCTAATCAGTCTTACTATCAATGACACCGACTAACTAAGAGATAAGTCTAATATGGGTGCTTAGCCAAGCGGAATTGCCGAAAACTTAAATACTGTTACGCTTGTAAGGAAAGACACTTTTGTCTCCATATTGGTATAATGGGAACAAGTTGGAGATCCTTAATCTCAAATTTTCAAAATCTTTACAAAATCTTATTTACAGTTGAGGACACCATTTTCAATTACCAGAATAACTCTCATCTGAGTAAGCTAACTGGCCCAAAAACCCGTGACCAATATTTGCGATTTTCTTCTATGCAAAACTTTCGCATAGATGATGTTTTATTGTCTCCAATTTTTCTACCTCCTGACAGCTTATATAACAGCAGGATTCTATAACAAAACCAGTCTGATTAAGGATTGACTTCACCAAGACTGAACTAAGTAATTAATAACATGTTTGTCGCTTAAATAAACACAAGTAGCCAGAGACATACAAGTGCCCACTTTTTCGGAGTCTAGTTTAACTGCTTCACAGTTACCAGGAATATCACTATGTCCTGGAACCCATTGCAGATTTATCGTGAAATACTATGTTAGATGCACTAAGAGAGCAAGGCATTCAATCACTATCCCTAAGAGACTTTAATAATTTCAAAGCCGCTTGACTCCTACTTGTGAGCACACTCTTTGTTGAAAATATAAAAGCTTTCTTTAATTGCTGGGATCTTTGCTAGGAAGACACTGAAGTGGCCTGATAGACGGAAGGCGATTCTAGTATCTAATTTTGCTTTAAAGACACCACCTTTCCCTCGATTATCTAGTTAAGATCCATCCGTATAGTTACTTATTTCCATGGCTTTGGCTACCTTACCCATATTTCTCACCTTTCTGGAGGGCAACATTGGCAGAACATTTGACTCGCTATCTTCACCGAATTCGGCACGGATTTTTACCCAAGGCAAAGGTGCAACCTCCTAGTAAACTATTTAGATCATACCACTATAGCATATAGCTGCCACACAAACTAAACGATTAAAATCAAGTTCTTGACTCAAATCTTTTGTCTTTGTAAAGGGTATTATTTAGCATATTTTCTTGTTTCTAAATATTATTAGAGCACTAAGCTGTGAAAATTAAAATATTAGCGCAAAGGAAGCCTGCAAGCTTTTATCAATCTTCAGCCACAATGAGAATTTATTTAGGTCCACTAACCTTAGTACGTATATTTACTTATAGTTATAAGTATATACATATGTAATATTGTATACATATTACCCATATGTATCTGTTTACGTAATTGTGCCTTTGTTAAAGTTGTTAATGCCAACATTCTGCGCTAGTGTCCTAATCTAAATCAGCTGTGCAAAATATAAGGACACAAGCATTTTAGGTTATTGCCACAAGTTAATGGAATAATGGCCAACATAAGCCGTCGTTAACTAAATTGTTAGTGCTTTTTCCAGTTTAAGACAGAAAAGGGTGATTGCCGGCTACGTTACACTTTTAGGTTGGTGAAGCTTCAAAATATGCCAATTATATAAAGAAAAGCGATATAAAAGCTTAGTGTTTAGTATATTAGAGGATATACTCGAATAAACATATTAAAATCCCGTTCCAGTCAAAATGTTTTTTTAAAGCACATATCTTACCTCGAAAAAAGACGATAACAAACACCCTAACTTAAGATTATGGAGAAACTCATTGCCGTTTATTATTTAATTATTTCGGTAAGTCTGTTAAAATTTTTAAAAAACATTCTTGAAACCTGTTGTGTTTCAAAGAAGCAACGCCAAAATAAGCGATGCCTTGAAACAACCTAATGAAATTATCTTGAGCCACTGCATTCAGTTTGGCACTAATTGGCATTTCCATAAACCAACTGATGTTGAGGAGTTTTATATTTTTGATAGCGAGCTTTTAGGCGACCCTTTCCATATACCGAACTAAAATGACAGCCGTTTCATTAGCTATGTTCTATCGCCATAGTTTTTGAACCGCTTACGTCTAAGCAAATATGTACATGTGTGCGTACTATATTACATGTACAATACACGTACGTACATGAGTGAGTGTGTGTGTGTTTGCTATTTAGCACTTGTTTCAGCGCACACAAGTTGCCATGGTGCAACGCCATCGACTCAATGTGCTTAAATTCTCATTAAAGCGCACAGGCAATATAAAATACACACATATACTCGTACACATTAGTTCAGTTCAACCGTTACACATAGTCGCACTTAACACCAAATGTATGCAGCTAGCTACATACATATGTACGTATGTGTGTATATTTTGTGCTCATGTCTGCTTTGGTAATTTAGGTTAATTTTCTACGGCTCTCATATGTTGCTTTATTTACATACTTTATTATGCGGCGCTCCCTCTTTTCTGGTGATTTAACTTTATGAGTGATTTTGGCGGTTTTTACGAGCATTTAACAAAACAGTCAAGCAAAATTTAATTGGTGTTAAAGTTCATTGGCTCTTTACGGCTCATATGCGCACAAGCTCATATTTAACAATAAAAACTCTGTTATATGACACTGCACCTTATCTGTCATTCTGGTGTTTACACTTGACACAACAAATTGCTTTGGTTGTATGTACAATAGGTATATTGCCAAAATTATGGGTGATTTGGGAGTTTAGACAATTTTCGAAAAAAATTAGTGAAAAAAACTGCCGAGGTTAAAAAATAGAGCGTAAGCGCGAAGAGATAATGCTTTTACGAAGGCAAAGGCCGTTAAATCATAGTCGTTTTATTACATAACATATGCATAATTATTAACAAAAATATTTTTTTTATGTGAAAAGAATAATATTTCCGTGCTTAAAGTTAAAAAAGTTTAATTTGATTTATTTTAATACCCGCCGTAATATATTTAGTTCCAGTCACTATGACAATTGAAGAACTAGAATCAAATGGTTAATAAATGCCAAAAGAGAACATTTTGAAGAGACCTACGAAAATACTGTTTGTCGACAGTTATATTTACACTATATTCAATACCTTCTCATTCATAAGCAAAACAAAATTAACGAAAATTGCAAAAGGGAAAAATATTGGGTGATTTTTCTAAAAATTTAATAAATATGAGATTTACTAGCAGATAGAGTCAGCTCGACATGCTTCGAAATCTATATTTAGTTCATGTCAGTACGAACTATTTCACCAGGGTTGCCAGCTTTTTAATTCAAAGTAATTCAAACGGCTCTTAAGCTGTGAAAACTGATACTGCCGATGCAGCCACTATAAACGGAAATTCAAGAATAGTTTTTAATTCCGTAATTAGTACTAATATGATTTTTAGTTTATAATTTCGTATTTGGGATAACAAAATAAATAATAATAATTAAAAGTTGATTAAAAAATGTTTAATGCATTATTTGCAACCCTGTATTTCACCCTGTCAAATGAAGGAGTTTTCCAAACAAGCACTTGATTCCGATTGTTCAGTTTGTATGGCAGCTATATGCTATAGTGAACCAATATCGGCCGTTCCGACAAATGAAGAGCTTCTTGTTGAGAAAAGAGCAGTTTCAAATTGATAACTTAAAAACTAGGGGATTGATTTATATACCTATATACAGACGGACAGCAAGATGGATATGGTTAAATCAACTCAGCTCATCATGTTGATCATTTTTGTATATATTTTATAGGGTTTCCGACATTTCCTTCAGGTTACAAACGTCGTTGCAAACTTAATACACACTGTTCAGGGTATAAAAAGCTGACATTCACCAGTTATTTCGATCTCGAGATTTCGCTTTTTCAGATTTTTCATTGTAGAGCTCCAAGCAATTATTCCCGTCGAAAGCGATGCAATACCTCCGACGTACTCACTAACGTAATTGAAGACGCAGCGACAACGAATAGAGCCTATTTAGTGACTCAAAAACTTCACTTTTCATGAACATTTTCTTTCCTATTTTTTTTCCCCACTTACTTGTTTAGCGTCGTGACGAAATAGTGAAACTAGGGAGAAATTTTTGAATTTATAGCATACTTATCAAATATAAAAAAGTTACTTAAAAGCACTTGGGTTACTGTTGAAGTTCTGAGGTGTGGTCTGTTGGCTTAACTCAGATTTTAATAACAGGAGTTTTTGCTTATTGACGAGCCCTCGTTTAATATTCAATTATAATCGATATTTTACGAAATTTGTAATATAATCTCGGCAGAGACAGGAAAGCACTGAGATTTGAACAAGAAACCTTAAAAAAAATCATAAAAGTTGGGTGATATAATAGTAGATAACGTTATAGTTTCATTTAATAAGAACATCCATATTAAGTACTTGTCTTAAGCTTCACGAAGCCTCTTTTTTCAACTTCCTTGAAGGCGTTAAGTCTTCCAAGTAATTGTAGTGATAAAATAAAAAGTTTTTTATTGTGAATTTTACAAAAATCTCTTGAAATTTAGGAAAGACTAGCCGTGTTCTTTTCTCGATAGCGTT